CTCTATACCAGTGAATGCCTCACCAGCCGAACCATGGTTGGGTAAAAACCAGCTGTGGGTCCCTCCACCTTATCGGCATGAAATACTTAAGCTGGCACATGACCATCCAATGTCAGCACACCCAGGAGTCACTAAAACGACGGCGAAGATCAAAGAACTGTTCTTTTGGCCCAAAATGAGAAAAGATGTGTCGCGTTACTGCAGAAGTTGCACGAACTGTCAGTTGGCCGGAAAGCCAAACCAGACAATTCCTAAGGCCCCTTTGAGTCCGATTCCTGTATTAGAAGAACCCTTTTCTAAAATCGTCATGGACTGTGTAGGTCCCTTGCCTAAAACCAAGGCGGGCAACGAGTACCTACTTACCTTTATGTGTTCAAGTACCCGTTTTCCCGAGGCGATTCCCTTACGGCACATTAAGGCTAAGACTGTAGTCAGAGCCATGACCCGGTTCTTCACTACCTTTGGATTACCTAGAATCGTGCAAACAGATCAAGGCAGCAACTTCACCAGTCACCATTTTCAGGAAGCACTAGTCAAGCTAGGCGTTACCCACATCACCAGCTCAGCCTACCACCCTCAGTCTCAAGGCGTACTTGAGAGGTTCCACCAAACCCTCAAAACCATGCTAAGATCGTTCGCTAACAGTAATACCCAATGGGATGAGACTGTTCCTTGGATTATTTTCGCCGCGAGGGACTGTGTCCAGGATTCTTTAGGCTACTCGCCTTTTCAACTTGTGTTTGGACATTCTGTCCGAGGTCCCCTGAAGCTGATCCACGAACGTTGGACAGGTACCAGCGATCATCCTGTGGAAAACTTTGACGATTTTCACGTTCGACTGAAAGCCGTGTGCGAAATGGCTCACAAGAATTTAAGAAAGGCCCAAGTGAGAATGAAAGGACTGTATGATAAGAGTTCTTGTAAACGAACATTCAATCCAGGCGACAAAGTTCTTGTGCTAGTGCCTAATCTGAACAATGCGTTATCCTTGAGATATTGTGGACCCTTTACTGTGCATTCAAAATTAAGTGATTTGAACTATGTTGTCAATACGCCCGACAGAAGAAAGAAACAGACAGTGTATCATGTTAACTCACTGAAAAAGTATTATGATAATTGTAACAATGTTCCTTCCACAGCTAAAATTACTTTACCTGTATGTTCAAATGTTTCTGATGATGTGATACATGATAAATTGAAACCCCCAAAATTGGTAAATTCTTCCTTTTTAGATAATTTGAATGTCTACCTTATGCATTTGTCCACAGAGGAAAGCCATAAATTGTCTGAAGTTAATTCTACTGTAAACCTTTACAGAAATCACCTTTTATGCAAGTTCTGTAAAGCTTCAATTACCTATTTGGGTTATCAGGTGGGAACGAACCAAGTTCGGCCCATTGAAGCTAAAGTAGATGCTATTGTAAGGTTACCTCCTCCCAAAAATTGTAAAGAAATCAAAAAGTTCCTTGGGATGGCTGGTTACTATAGGCGGTTCTGTCAAAACTTTTCAGCTATTGCTGAACCTCTTACTGCATTATTGAAAAAGGGTGTTGAGTTTGAATGGTCAAATAAATGTCAAGAAGCTTTTTTAACCATTAAGTCATTTTTATCTAATGCTCCTGTTATGGCTGCGCCAGATTTCAGCAAGCCCTTTAAACTTGCCATTGATGCTAGCAACTTAGCCGTTGGCTCAGTCCTATTTCAAGAAGACAACATGGGAATTGACCATCCCGTTGCTTTTTTTTCCAGGAAGTTAAATGAGAACCAAAAGAATTATTCTACTATTGAAAAAGAGGCTTTAGCTTTGGTTTTGTCATTACAACATTTTGAAGTCTATGTCTCTTCTTCAACCAATCCAGTCAGAGTGTTTTCTGACCATGATCCCCTGAAATTTACCTCTAAGTTAGGACAGACAAATCAAAGAATATTGAGATGGTGCTTATATTTCCAAAATTTTAATCTGGAAATTTTACACATTAAGGGTAGTGATAATGTTGTGGCTGATTGTTTGTCAAGGATGTAAAATCTTATTACACACATTGATCATGTGACATGTTTTGTGGTTCATTAGGACCATACCCAGGTGTTGTGTTTAACATGGAAATGAGTGGTATGATTTTGATTTTTTCAAAATTCCATTCCTGTTGAATATTTTGTTTATTTTCAGGTGAACCTTAATTAAAGGTGGTTTTTGATTATATGTAATCTTTTATAATAATATGTCTCATATGACTCAGTTGATATTGTAGCTAGTCATTGAAATAAAGGTCTTACCCTGGCGGGTTTACCACTTTTAATATCCACATGGAAATATTGTAATACCCTTTTTTGAGGAATTTTGATGTATAATTACCTGTTGAAGGGTTACTTCCCTTTCACGAATTGTAAAAGTTTGAGTTACTTCCCTTTTATGTTCAGGGATATTTTCATCTGGTATTAAGATTTTGATTGCCTGCATTTGTAAAACATTTTTTTTTATTTCATTGCCAGATTGGTTCCTTATGTATGCTTTTGTGGAACCTATCTGTCACTTCCAAAAAGGGAGGGGATGTGACCTACTTAGGTCGAGTCAGGTTCCATTTTTATCTGGACATTGTATAATACCTTATATGGAATGATTGTGTAACTCCTGGGGTTTTTCCACTGTCTTACCAAGGGTGTCTAAGACGTAGAAATTTTCCATTAAGATCTGATTGAATGATTCTGATCATATGACCCTCCCAACCAATGGCTACATGAGTTGAGGATGACCTCCCCTGTGGCAGAAGTCTTTAACTGCCCCGCACACTCGCCACACGTGGCAGTTTTACCTTGATCAGGCAGTCTACCAGGATCAAACGGTCCATTACGACCAAGCCGTCCATATTGTCCGGCAATAGATTCTGACCATTTGAACGTGAGAGAACTTAAGTCCTGTGTGTGCCTTGCTTTCTTAAGTTGATTTAGTCTTCTAGTATAATATTACTTGTCGCCAAGTAATTCTTGAAGCTATAGCAGTGTTGTGTGGCCTGTGGCTATTATTAGGCAGTGTTGAAATCTGTGATAGTGTTTTTTCCTACATTTTGTAAGTTGGGTTTTGATATTTTATACATTAAATATTTTATCTAGTTTAACCTTGTGTTCTGCCACAACTGTGTTCGCTTATTAAAGGTTGTATGCAGATTGGATGAGTGTTAATTACAAAAGTATCACTAGTTTTCCCTAGACATCGAATTCGAGCCCTAGTGTGTCGTTGTGTTAGTGTTCATCCATTTAGGCCGTAAGGCATTTGCATATAACCCCGAAAAAAGAATCCGGGGACGTTCACCTTCTATCTGGCTGATAGATAGGTAAGCGTTACAATTGGTCGCCTGATTAATTTTTGTATGAATTAATTAAAAATTTGACCAAATTAGTAGGCAGTCCTATCCAACTACTCCACACTCGTCATCAAGTTCAATAGCGTGTCAACACGTTCAATAGGTGCGTGATGATTGTTAGTCATGTAAATCTATTGTAAATAAAACATGTAAAGTACTAAAAAAAAACATTTTCATAAAAAACGTTTTAATAACAAGCTTTTATCTAATAATGCATTAAAAAGGAAAAAAATGAATTATAGACTACTATTTAAATAACTATAAAGAAAAGCATGTGTCTCTTCCTAAATATTAGTAAAGGTATCCAATAGATACTAATGTTAACTACGCTCTTCTTTATAGTATTTAAATAGTAGTCTATAATTTATTTTCTCGTTTTTAGTGCATTATTAGATAAAAGCTTGGTATTGAAACGTTTTTTATGAATTTTTTTCCATTGTCTTTTTTTTTTCTCTGCATTGTTAAAAACAACAACTTTTCTTTTACCAGTGTTTTCCATCCTTACCCTCGACTCCATAGACATCACTGTATTTCTTGCCGTTGTTGCTCTATATCAATTACATAGAACTAGCTGTATTTCTAGACATTGCTTTCTGCCAGTTTCTGCATTAGCAGTCACTTCCATTAAACATGTACTGCCCTCCCTCCCCCTCCCATCAACAATGTTACCCTTGCCACACAACAACTTCCGGCTAACTGGGAAATATAACTGTACCCATCTAATACTGGAACATTGTTGGGAAAAAAAATCCGGAAAAAACCCACTAGCTGGTCAATTCGTTCAACTGGTCAATTAGTTCAACTGGTCAATTAGTTCAACTGGTCAATTAGTTCAACTGGTCAATTAGTTCAACTGGTCAATTAGTTCAACTGGTCAATTAGTTCAATTGGCCAATTAGTTCAACTGGTCAATTCGTTCAACCGGTCAATTAGTTCAACTGGTCAATTCGTTCAACTGGTCAATTCGTTCAACTGGTCAATTCGTTCAACTGGTCAATTAGTTCAACTGGTCAATTAGTTCAACTGGTCAATTAGTTCAACTGGTCAATTAGTTCAACTGGCCAATTAGTTCAACTGGTCAATTAGTTCAACTGGTCAATTAGTTCAACTGGTCAATTCGTTCAACTGGTCAATTAGTTCAACTGATCAATTAGTTCAACTGGTCAATTAGTTCAACTGGCCAATTAGTTCAACTGGTCAATTAGTTCAACTGGTCAATTATTTCAACTGGTCAATTCGTTCAACTGGTCAATTCGTTCAACTGGTCAATTAGTTCAACTGGTCAATTCGTTCAACTGGTCAATTAGTTCAACTGGTCAATTAGTTCAACTGGTCAATTCGTTCAACTGGTCAATTCGTTCAACTGGTCAATTAGTTCAACTGGTCGATTCGTTCAACTGGTCAATTAGTTCAACTGGTCAATTAGTTCAACTGGTCAATTAGTTCAACTGGTCAATTAGTTCAACTGGTCAATTAGTTCAACTGGTCAATTAGTTCAACAAGCCGAAGAGATATCACAAACTGGTCGATTAGTTCCACAAACAAGAGAGATACCACAAGCTGGTCATTTAGTTCAACAAACTAAAGAGATACCACAAACGTCCAACAAACAAGAGAGATACAACAAACTGATTATTTAGTTCAACAAACAAGAGATATACCACAAACTTTCAACCAACAAGAAAGATACCACAAGCTGGTCAAATAGTTCAAGCTATTTGGTTCATGTTTTACCAGGTAGTCGAGCAATATCATTGTAATTATAACTTGACTTATTCCTCTGTATCCAGTGTTGAGCAAAAAGTTGCTGCTACACTTTTCCGCCTGAATTTGTTGTGTACAGCTATCTTTAGTTGAGCCCATGTGACTCTGTTGTGTACATCTCTCTTTAGTTGAGCCCATGTGACTCTGTTGTGTACAGCTATCTTTAGTTGAGCCCATGTGACTCTGTTGTGTACAGCTCTCTATAGTAGATCCCATGTGACTCTGTTGTGTACAGCTATCTTTAGTTGAGCCCATGGGAATCTGTTGTGTACAGCTCTCTATAGTTGATCCCATGTGACTCTGTTGTGTACAGCTATCTTTAGTTGAGCCCATGTGACTCAGTTGTGTATAGCTTTCTTTAGTTGAGCCCATGTGAATCTGTTGTGTACAGCTCTCTATAGTTGATCTCATGTGACTCTGTTGTGTACAGCTATCTTTAGCTGAGTTCATGTGACTCTGTTGGGTACATCTATCTATAGTTGAGCCCATGTGACTCTGTTGTGTACATCTATGTTTAGCTGAGCCCATGTGACTCTGTTGTGTACATCTATCTTTACCTGAGTTCAGGTGACTCTGTTGTGTACATCTATCTTTAGCTGAGTTCATGTGACTCTGTTGTGTACAGCATTCTTTAGTTGAGTACATGTGATTCTGTTGCGTACATCTCTCTTTAGCTGAGCCCTATAAGTCCCGCAACCCTTGTTTATACTTCCACAGACAATTTTCTTGATTGTTTAGGCAAGTCAAATTTTCTCCGAGGGTTCATCAATTAACATAATCTGTAATCACGTTCTTGTATACATTGCCCTTGCTTCTCTACAAGAATTAGTTATTAAATAATCCTCATGAGACCAAACGATCCATTGGACAGAAGAAGTAGAGCTCATATGAAACCTTGACCTCGACATATGAAGGGAAGGTGTGGTCAGCACTTTGACCAACCTTTGTAATTTCCCCAACTTGAGTTAGGTAACCACCAGAGCTAAGTGGACAGAGGCGCTCTAACGACTTGGACCCGGATTCGAACTCGAGATTTTCGGGCTGGTAGCCTAACTCCATGCCGTTTTGTCAATTTCTTTGAAGACACACCGTATTTAATCTTCTTTGGGTCCTCAAGGTTGTTTTTTTTTTGGGTCAAGTCCAATTCTCTCGTTTCTTTTATCTTAAGAGTTGTTTTAAAATTATTTTTACAAATTAATTAAATTAATCATTATAAAGTAAACTTATTAAAGCAAAAAATTTTATTAAAATATTTGACTATTTTCAAACGTAGCGACATAAGTGATCTAAAATATTGGTGAATGAATTTTAAATTTGGATAACAAATTATCACGATAGCTCATTTCAATAACCATCAAGTCAGTGGCGTAGCGAGGTGATGTGTCACCCGGTGCGGCACTTAATAGTGTCATCCCCCCCCCCGCAACCAGTAAAAAATTATATATATATATATATATATACATATAAATATATATATATATATATATATATATATATATATATATATATATATATATATATATATAAAAGTTATTATGTATATACGCATGTGTATATGTATTCACTTATATATATTTTTATGTATTTAATTTTTTACCCCCCCCCATACATGGATTAACACATAGGCTATTACGATTCTCAACCAAACCGTTTACATCAGGCATATTAAGCAATGTTGTAATGTAACTCCCCCCCCCCACTCACCCCACACCTTCCCCGCGTCGACTGTGTTAAACTGTGCTCAAATATAATACTAAAATTTGTATCTATAGTCGGTTATAAATACAGATCGATGTAGCATGTTTTCTCTATCATTAGCAGGTTTACGTCATGGTGTCACCCCCCCCCCCCCCCTACACCATTGTCGGAATTTGTCAAATTTGGTCTTAAAAAAAACAATTTAATACTCAAATTAGTCATTTAATTAAGTGGAATTATCATTTTTCTATATATATTTTGCCTTGGTGTCACCCCCCCCCCCTAATTGGTGTCACTCGGTGCGGTCCGCATTCCCCGCCCTCCCCCCAACCCTAACCCTCGCTACTTCTCTGCATCAAGTTGATTTAAAATAAAACGCAACAAAAATTCAAAGAAAATGTATCAAAACGAAAAGCGTATATCATTTATTATAAATATATCACAAGATAAAAGCTTGCATGCAAGTAAAACACAACAATCAACCAAATAGTGAAGTCATCTCCACCAGCATCACACTATTCTGGACGCATATATCTTACTCAAGGGGAACTGTTTGATTAAGGCTGAAAATACATTATTGTGTTGTACCAATCAATTCAGCAGCATCAAGGTTTAACTAATTTGCTACTTGAAAGTAATATTTTCTTAATGAATAACAAAATAAAATTACTGTTTTCGCAGGCACAGAATGCCAAAGTATAGAAGTACGAACAAAAACAAAGCAACGATAGTCGATATCTCTCCAGCAGACATTGATTGTTTTCCTTTATACTTTTTCGTTGAGTGCAGCAGCAGTAAACTTTGTGTTTTACTATCCGATGCAGAAATATTCTCAGCTTTAATAATAAAAAATTAACTGTTATTTATAAACAAAGTAAACAGTTACTTTATCGCTTTCTAATGTATTCATTATGTCTGTATTTAGCACTAGACTTGTTAACTGTTGAAGGTTATGCTTAATTTATTACATCTTTCTATTCTCACAGTTTATTTTACTAAACCTGGTGGGTGCTGGGTTTGTAGAATTATAATAGTAAAAACAGAAACCGTATTGTCATATATATTATGAATGAGACATAACACACTAATCACATTAATACGGACTTAATGTTTACTTATTTTACAAAAATGTAACACACAAAAATGTGTTTATTTTTTAAAAATTTATTCTTTGAATAAACGTCACATAAAGAAAAAATAAAATGGCAACATATTTTTAAAATCAGGAAATCATAAAAAGGTGTGTTTATTACTTGCTTTTAGGTGCTCAAATATGACAGCTTTTATCTTTTTTTTCTGCTCTTGTACAACTTGACAGGGGCTACAGATGAGATCATAATCTTACGACCCTAGCTTAGCAATTGCCAGCTATCTTCTAATTCACTTTGAAGTAGATAGTAGCATCAGGCTTGTACTGCAGTGCACGAATATCTGTCGCTTTGAATTCTTGATAGGTCTGACTGGTCCTTTGAGATCGGCTGGTCTCTTGTATGGTAAAACTGGTCTTTTTGAGAGAGGTTGGTGTCTAATGTCTGTTATGTGAGGCTGGTCTATTGAATGTTACGACTGATCTGTTGAGAAAGGCTGGTGTATTGTATGGTAGGACTGGTGTGTTGAGAGAGGCTTGTCTATTGTAGAATAAGACTAATCTTTTGAGAGAGGCTGGTCTCTTGTATGGTAAGAATGGTCTGTTGAGAGAGGCTGGTATCTTGGAGGGTAAGATTGGTCAGTTGAGAGAGATTGGTCTTTTGTATATTACGACTGGTCTGCTGAGAGAGACTGGTCTCTTGTGAGATACTGGTGCCTTATGTTACGACTGGTCTGTTTTGAAAGGCTTGTATGGAAAGACTGGTCTGTTGAGAGAGACTGATATGTTGAGAGGCTGGTCTGTTGAGAGAGGCTGGTCTGTTAAGAGAGTCTGGTCTGTTGAGAGAGGCTGGTCTGTTAAGAGAGGCTGATCTGTTAAGAGAGGCTGGTCTGTTAAGAGAGGCTGGTCTGTCGAGAGAGGCTGATCTATTAAGAGAGGCTGATCTGTTAAGAGAGGCTGGTGTGTCGAGAGAGGCTGATCTGTTAAGAGAGGCTGGTCTGTTGAGAGAGGCTGATATGTTGAGAGAGGCTGGTCTGTTGAGAGAGGCTGATATGTTTAGAGGTTGGTCTGTTGAGAGAGGCTGGTCTGTTGAGAGAGTCTGGTCTGTTAAGAGAGGCTGATCTGTTAAGAGAAGCTGATCTGTTAAGAGAGGCTGGTCTGTCGAGAGAGGCTGATCTGTTAAGAGAGGCTGATCTGTTAAGAGAGGCTGGTCTGTTGAGAGAGGCTGGTCTGTTGAGAGAGGCTGATATGTTGAGAGAGGCTGGTCTGTCGAGAGAGGCTGGTTTGTTGAGAGAGGCTGGTATGTTGAGAGGCTGGTATGTTGAGAGAGGCAGGTCTGTTGAGAGAATCTGGTCTGTTGAGAGAGGCAGGTCTGTTGAGAGAATCTGGTCTGTTGAGAGAGGCTGGTCTGTTGAGAGAGGCAGGTCTGTTGAGAGAAATCTGGTCTGTTGAGAGAGGCTGGTCTGTTGAGAGAGGCTGGTCTGTTAAGAGAGGCTGATCTGTTAAGAGAGACTGATCTGTTAAGAGAGGCTGGTCTGTCAAGAGAGGTTGATCTGTTAAGAGAGGCTGGTATGTTGAGAGAGGCTGGTCTGTCGAGAGAGGCTGATCTGTTAAGAGAGGCTGGTCTGTTGAGAGAGGCTGATATGTTGAGAGGTTGGTCTGTTGAGAGAGGCTGGTCTGTTGAGAGAATCTGGTCTGTTGAGAGAGGCTGGTCTGTTGAGAGAGGCTGGTCTGTTAAGAGAGGCTGATCTGTTAAGAAAGGCTGATCTGTTAAGAGAGGCTGATCTATTAAGAGAGGCTGATCTGTTAAGAGAGGCTGGTGTGTCGAGAGAGGCTGATCTGTTAGGAGAGGCTGGTATGTTGAGAGAGGCTGGTCTGTCGAGAGAGGCTGATCTGTTAAGAGAGGCTGGTCTGTTGAGAGAGGCTGATATGTTGAGAGGTTGGTCTGTTGAGAGAGGCTGGTCTGTTGAGAAAATCTGGTCTGTTGAGAGAGGCTGGTCTGTTGAGAGAGGCTGGTCTGTTAAGAGAGGCTGATCTGTTATGAGAGGCTGATCTGTTAAGAGAGGCTGGTCTGTCGAGAGAGGCTGATCTGTTAAGAGAGGCTGATCTGTTAAGAGAGGCTTGTCTGCTGAGAGAGGCTGGTTTGTTGAGGGAGGCTGGTCTGTTGAGAGAGGCTGGTCTTTTGAGAGAGGCTGGTCTGTTGAGAGAGGCTGGTCTTTTGAGAGAGGCTGGTATGTTGAGAGGCTGGTGTGTTGAGAGGTTTGTATGTTGAGAGAGGCTGGTATGTTGAGAGAGGCTGGTATGTTGAGAGAGGCTGGTATGTTGAGAGAGGCTGGTGTGTTGAGATAGGCTTGTCTGTTGAAAAATTAATCATAAAAGCATTTGCTAAAGACAACTAACCATGTCGTTGAACATGTACGCCAAAAGTTTTGTAACCTACCATATAAACATTTCTTAACACGTATCTAAACCCTCAATGTAAAGCTAGTAGTGAATTAACAATTATTAAATGTATTGCACATTCTTGTGGAAATATAATTCGAATTATATTATTTTGATTGATATTTAGATTCTAGAATGAAGATCTAGTTTCAAAGCATTGTGTTAGCCTAAAAAATTGTAAACAAATCAGTTTGGTTATTGACAATCTGGAAATAGGCTATATTAAACAAATACTATTTGTTTATTATTCTTTAAAATGATAAAATGTAATAGAATAGTTGAACAAAATTAATCAAATATCCTTACCTAAAAGTACTGTGACTGCTGTGCTGTAAAATTGTGTGATTGCGACGTGCGACTGCGTTCCCGATCAAAAGTGTACTGACAAATATAACGATATTCGTTTTGCGCCGAGATT